TATGAAGCTCTATACTTGAGACTATTGAGAGAATTATGTCCATATTTAGTGAGAATGAGCAAAAAAATGTACATCGAGATCTAGGAATAGCAGAAACATGTGACAGAAGGAACATATAGTACTTGCCAATCAAAAGGACCAAACTGAAACGTCTGAAAATACCAGACAGAAAATGTTGACCAAACTTGGGCATAAGCAAAGCGGGAAACGTAAAGAAGGGAGGAGTCTTAATGCAAACAACCAAAGATAGAGATCTCGACTGTTTGACTGAGGAATTTAAAGCCCTTTAAATGACTTCACGCTATAATGTAGTCAAGCCAAAGTTAACTCCACTAAAAAATTCTCAAGATTTTCCTTAAAATAAAAAAATTCTTGAGAATTTCTCTTGTTATTTATCCAACTGTTTCTTAAGAATTTATGAAGAATTCTGAATAATCAGATGAAAATTTTCAAAATATAACTACATGTTATAACTCCATGTCATGTCTGAGATAATCTGATTAAAATCTTCGAAATGTAACTACATGTTTGCCAAATATTTGAAGATTTGCCAACAGCTTTTTTGAACGTATTTCTTAAAGAAATTGAGGAAACATTGTGGTCTCTACTCTGGGATTTCCCATTCATCTAATGATAAGTTAGATTAGCTCTTTCGATTCGCATGCAGCTGCATGGAACTAAATGGCTTCATATGGGGTTCTCCCACACTTATTAAGATTAAAAATTTTCTAAATTCTGAAAATTTATATTAATTTACAAGATTATTATGAACCTTCAGAGTTAAAATTAAGAAAATTAATCCTAATTAAATTAATTGCCGGATTAATTTTCTAATTTTCTGCAAAATAAGGGCTTAAAAAGCCTTTATTCTTTTAAGGAAAATTTCGGAATGAATTTATAAAATTTTCTATGAAATAGACTAAGTAGGATCAATATCTACAGAATTTAATTTAGAAGACTCAAAAAATTAACAAACATTGGGTAAACCAACCAGTGAAGGAACACTACCCAGTGAAAGAACATTTCATATATANAATTTTGAAATTAATATGATTTTTTAACAGGCAAGCGAAGCTTAAGTGCTTATTTATTACTTATTTATTTATTTTTTAAAATGTGCGTACTTTTCAAATATAATTTCAAATATAGTTCAAAGAAAAATTACATTTTGCCTTAAAATATCTAATTTTTGTTATGTTACTTTTTATATTGTGTTTATTTATTGATTATGTTAAATGCACTGAAAATATGCATACTTTTCAGTATCGCTAAAAGTAGTATAATTTTAATATCATCAGTTTATTATTATTTAGTATAGAAAGTTTATTCTTTTCACTTACGTTATGTTGCATTTGTATCGTTTTCCTTTTTCTTTGCTAATTCATAACGTCTGTAAAATGTCTTAAAAACGTCGGCAGATATTTAAAAGAAAAGTTAAGTCTTTAAAATGACTATGAAATGTCTCCGAACAATCTGCAGATATTTTAAAGTAAAATCTTCAATATATCTGACTATTTTTGAAGTACTTCTCAATAAAAGGACTTTTTCTAAAGAAATTAAGATATTTTTAGTTAGGTTGTAGCAGTTCCAACCAGAACACTTCAAATATAAATTTTATGAAAAATTATGGGTCCCGCAGTGGACTGATCGTTAAGACACAGTTCCCAGCAGATCGCAGAAGTCAAGCATCACTGGCTGCGGTCAGTGTGCTGGTGGGTGACCACTCGGATCAGTCTGCGTAGGAACCGAGGGTGTGCGGTAATGGTCCTCGTTAAACTGTTCTACCGTGAAGTGCTCGATTTCGCGTGCAAGTCGTTGGGATACCGAAGCGGGGGTGCCATCATCTCTGCAGAGGATCAAAATTGTGATTGCATGTCTTCGGATCAACCTCAGGGATGTTTCCCAGACCGTCGCCAATAGCCCATTGTGCAGCTCTAGTGTGACGTAAATTAGCAACATCAACAACAAATGGAAAATTATGGTCCATTTACAAAATATTTTATCGAAAATACAGACCATGCACAAACTAATTTACCAAAAAAAAATGAACTCTTCATAATTCTTTTTCATTATCAGTCACTTTAGCAATGGATGGTGTTTTCAATAGAAATGTAAACAATAACAATCTCGGGCTGTATGCCTGCTCTAGTTCCGGTTAGAAAGTTTGCAGCTGACATGTTATTCTGCGAGGCGATATTTTCAAACGGATAATTTTGCTTTCAATAAAAGAAAGAAATTAGATAATTTCTGAGTTCAAATCTGCCGTATTTCATAAGATATGAATGTTCTTATGTAATACTGGTGTGTTTGAAGTGAAAATTTGTTTTAGTTATTTAGAGATGTATTGTTAAAAAAGGTGACATGGTTGCTAGATTTTGAATAACTCGCTTTTTTGGCAGTCTTGATTTGGCTTCTTTCCATTTGTTTATTACTGTTTGTTCGTGTTGCAAGCTGTGCACCATCTTACGTTAGTGTTAGCATATTGTTCGAGGAGCAAGATTAAGTTTAGTAATAAGTATTCAAATACCACGTTTGCAAGAATTTCAACACAATGATCACGTTGTGAGCCAAATGGCTTTAAAATACACCGGAAATAGTAACCCAGAAGTATAAGCGGCATACAGCCAGCAGTTCTCCCTAGTGTCGAAAACACCATCCATATAACTTAATAACATCACAATACTTCCACAAAAATGGATGGTGTTTTCAATAAATACAAATGTAAACAATAACAATCCCAAGCTCTATACCTGCTCTAGTTTCGGTTAGAAAGTTTGCAACTGCTTACTACAGCTTATTCTGCGAGGCGATATTTTCAAACGGATAATTTTTTTTTTCAATTCGTGATCGCAACACTCGAATACGCCATCTGGGGAGAGAGCGGTTTCATGCCTTTAGCCCTTTTCCCTTCCCTCTCCTCCTTTTTTCAGTTGTGTAGGAATGTACTACGATATTTTCCCTTTTCTTAATATTTTTCCTTTTTATATAATAAAAATATTTCTTAAAATTTCCATGATACTTTTCTTTAGAACTATGTTTAATGTAGTTTTCAGTTCCATATAGTTTTTCAAGTTAAAAGATTTTAATCTATATGAAAATCCAGAGAGAAACTAACGTACTTCCTTCCTCTATGACTTTCCACACGCTAATGGGGAAAGCATGTGAAGTGTTGCCATAGGAAAAGAGTTCAGCTCTACGCCACCTGCAGCCCATTTCGATCGCCAATAAAGGAAATAAATTAGATAATTTGTAATCTCAAATCTGCTGTATTTCATAAGATATTAATGTTATTATGTAATTCTGGTGAGCTTGAAGCGAAAATTTGTTTTAGTCATTTATAGATATATTGTTAAAAAGAAGGTGGTATTGGCGATCGAAATGGGCTGCAGGTGGCGTAGAGCAGAACTCTTTTCCTATGGATGGGTAGTCTAATGTAAACAATAGCAAGCGTCCTTAAACCGGAAGAAATTTAGAAAATTTCCGGTGTATCCCTCCGCTCATGTTATGACTACGAGGCGATGTGTGAACAAGCCTAATATTCTATGCAGTTTTGTTATTGTAATTTGGGTTCAAATCTAAACATAATTGTACCATTCATAAGAGCTTTCAGAAATGTATTGATTCTCAGAGGTCGTAAGGCCAAAAAAAATTTTGGAAAGTTAATATCTCATTGTGAATAATTCTTAAGGTTTGCCATGTTTTGTATTTTATCCCTTATTTGGCTACATTTGAATAAAATGTCGCCAAAAATATCTTTAAAAATATCTTTTTAAGTTAGCCTAATTAGAAAATATTCTAATGATTATAATATTAATATGATAATGCTGAAGTTTAAAGGCTGAAAGAAAGAGCTCGGTACATGTGAAATACTACAAAAGATATGATGCAATAATATGATGGCGCGTTTTTTCAATCTCCGGCGTAAAAATATATCGGAAGCAGTAACCCGGAAGTCTGGAAAGAGCAATTTTACCACTAGCGCCACCACCTTTAGCTTTACACGATCACCCATGCATGGCAACACTTCACATGCTTTCCCCATTAGCGTGTGGAAAGTCATAGAGGAAGGAAGCACGTTAGTTTCTCTCCTGATTTTCATATAGTAAAATCTTTTAACTTGAAAAACTATATGGAACTGAAAACTACATTAAACATAGTTCTAAAGAAAAGTATCACGGAAATTTTTAAAAATATTTTTATTAAGTAAAAAGGAAAAATATCGTAGTACATTCCTCTATAACTGAAAAGAGGAGGAGAAGGAAGGGAGAAGGGCTAAAGGCATGAAACCGGCTCTCCCCAGATGGCGTATTCGAGTGCTGCGATCGCGAATGGTTGATGGATTTTGAATAACTCGCTTTTTTGGCAGTCCTGATTTGACCTCTTTCCATTTTTTTTTTATTATTGTTTGATCTTGTTGCAAGCTGTGCACCATCGTACGTTAGTGTTAGCACCTTTAGCATTATAAACAAGTATTGTTAGCATTGTAAACACAAGTAATAAGTTTCATATACCACGTTTGCTAGAATCTCAAAACACAATAATCACGCTGTGAGCCAAATGGCTTTGAAGTACACCGGACACAGTAACCCGGAAGCATAGGTGGTATGGAGCTTGCAGCGTTCCCTAGTGTAGAAAACACCATTCATAGGAACTTATAGAACTTTTCTTTTTTAATAAATGGCCAAAAGACCTTTCCGAAAGAATCGCATGAATCACATACAGTGAAAATGGCCATTGCTGAACATTCACGGAATTACGATCTATATCGATATAGCCTGTCAAATTAACTGCCATCGTCGCATAGGTAAACAAATAGAATAATATTCTTCATGAAAAACATTAAATATACTAATAAATTTATATTTTATCACATATTCTTTGTACCTTCCATTATCTTTTAATGAAAGCATAATTTCATCAATATAAGGGTTTGTCTCTTATTTTGCATTTTTGAACTGAATAGAATGTTAATTTTTATTCTTTAAATATGAGTGAATGTCTTATCAGAAGTATCTGACTCATTGATTAGAGCCAAATTCTTCATGAATAACTTTGTTATTATCACTAAATGAGTGGAATAATTCGCAAACTATTTTTGCTTGAATTAATAAACTTAAATCTTATTCATAAGATTTAATCGCATTACTTAAAAATTGTGTGCTTTCTTTTGAATTGACAAAAGTTGTCTCACTTTCAGATTATCCCGCATTTTATATTCAGGTATTTCCAGTTATTTATCTGTTTGTATTTATCAGCAAACCTAATATTGTTAAAAATTTCTATATTCTAGTTTAGGGTTTGTTGATTTAATTCATGATTTCTTGATTTAATCATGAATGAATCTATGATTCATTGTAATTTTTAAGAAAAGAAAATTCATTGTTTTGAATCAAGTGATTTATTTTTAAAGAAATCATCAGTTTTTGTAATTTTATTTGTTTTTAGTGTTTTTCTGTAGTTAATAATGATATACAGTCAACCCTGCTTAAAGGAACAGCCAAATCTATGCAATTAAGCGGGTTATTCGATTAAAAGGGGAGTGCAATGTTCAATCTTAAATACTGAATTTTTGAAAAATTTTACTTTTTAATGATATTTAATGCATAGTACAGCATTTTGATTAAATAAACTCAGTTTTATGATCAATAAACAATTAAATTTAAAACTGTCTGCTTTAGTATCATAAAATATATATGCCATTTAAAGTTACATAAAAATAAATCAATGTTAGTGAAAAGTATAATTTAGGTACTAAAATATTATTTGATCCCTCCAAAAAAAATCGATAATTGAAGACTGTTTTTTATACCTGTTTAATTCATCAATTTATCAAAATTAGATATTCCCTTTTAGTTTCTACTAAAATCTACTAATAGTGCATCAAAAGGGGACCATAAGTCTTGACCACAAGACGAATCACTCTATTCCTTTTTTGCATTCTAAATGATGTGTCTGTGTGAAGTAAGTCAAAGAGAGGTAAAAATCCCTTCGTTTACTTCAATGTATTAAACTGGCAGCAAGATTTGATTAATTTTTCAACTTCACCTACTAATGAATAAGAAGTTCCTATTGAAATGAGCACCTATTGTATCCTTATCTTAACTGAAAAAGGAAAATTCCATTTTAGCTGGTGAAACATTTCTCAAAAATAAATTTTTTTATTTTATTTCAGTACCACTTCTTTATGCAATTAGGTGGGGGCAAAAAACAACAAATAATCGTTTAAACGGTGCAGTTTAACATTAGTTTCATATAAAATGATTTGGTTCCATTAAATTTATTCATATAAGCGGGTTATTCGATTATCCGATCTGCGGTTAAGTAGGGACTGCTATATTTCTAATCCATTCTCTGTAAATTTAAATTATACCATTTCCTTGGCATTATAATAAAAAAAATTTTAATGCAGTTATATAGTTTGAAATAAATTGTTATATTTTTAATAATATGTGAGTTATTGTATTTACTAAAATGAACCTATTATAAATTGAACCTTTAAAAAAATCTTAATACAATGCCAAATTAACTTTATACTTTCATTTTTTGAGAGGGAAAGAAAACTGAATTTTAACAGAAATATAAAATTAAATTTATATATTTTTTAATTAAAAACCAATTAAAATCATTTCATTCTTAAATTCTTTATGAAACAGATTAAATTCTGCATTTGTGAATTTTTTTAATTTTTATTTTAGTTTTTTTTTAATTTCGCTTTTATTAGCCTAATGATTGACAAAATGTGCTGGGCTTAATAAATGAAAAAAAATATTTGTAATCATATCTTTTTACTTTCTTTGAAAAAAAGGAAATATACCTTGTGGAGTTACATCCATGACTGTTTTAACTAAGTTCATTCAAAGTGAAATAATGAAAGTCTTAGTTTCATCGTTCAATTTATTTATGAATGCCTTATAAATATTTTTCAAGTCTGCATCACATGTTTTTCAGACTCTTCTATAGATAACTTTGCATAAAACTTAGCTTATTCAAAGAAAATGGCTTCTGGTGAGATGCATGACAACAATTTTGAAGACCTCTCTGAATCCAAAAATGCTGTTGATAAAGTAATTGTAATTTATAACAGTTATTTTATTATAATTTAACTCATATATCAATGTGTGTGTTACAGTTATTCTACTTTAATTTATTAAAAATGATCTAATATTTCCTTTTTTCTCTCTCTCTCTCTTTTGTAATTGTTAGTACCTTATTAACATATTTTATTATAAATAACTTTATTTTAGTATTTGTTTTCCAAGTGATCTTTGTTGAATGTGTTCAAATAACCCTTTCACCCCCCCCCCTTTTGACACATTTGAATTTGTGCCAAGATAGCGTCCATGTGACAACTACTACATGGCCTATCTCAAAATTGGAAGAGGTGAAAAAATCATGAGTATTAATTTATATACTTGAAAACTTAAAGTTTATAATCATTATGCAAATTAATTCTTAAATGTTTAAAGCCTGCATTTAATAGCAACATTGTCAAAAAAAAGTATGGATGCTAAAAAAAACAATATTAATAAATATACTTTGAGTCTGTTCTATTGTATATGAATTACTAAACAGTAATGTGGGTTTGAAATTTATCAAACTGTAAACATTGTCTAATTGTGCATTTATAATCATGTAGAACTTGCCTAATGTTAATATGAGTTTTAAAAGCTATGTACTTTTATTAATGAATCTCCGTACATGTGCAATCACCACTATTTTTACTATACTCAAAATAGTTTGCCAAAGGTGTGAACATTCCAAATATCATGATTTTCAACATAACTATAGAAAAAATGCTGCTAGAAAGACAGCCTGTTTTGTCCTTTTGTGTTGTTCAGTATTTCTAAAAATAATAAACTTAAAGCGATAAAATATTATGATTTTAATTTGTGTGTGCTTATTCAATCATTGGTTTTAGCTACATAAGAGCATAAATACGTAGAATGACAGTAGGGACCTGAGGAAAGTGGCTTCACAACTATAGTCTTTTCCTTGCAATGCTATCAACCCTAAAATAGAATTGAAAACTTGAAAAAATATATGTAGCTTATCATACAAGAATGCAAAATGTATAAAAATATTAACTTTGAATTTTATTATTTTTTCGCTTACATTGATTTTTTATTTCACAGCAGTATTCAAGATACATTTTTTTTTATGTATAGATACTATTGTAACTACTCATTTATTTATTAATGTTTTAATTTGAATGAATTTATTGTGTTTAAATATAATATTTCTTTTTTCTTTAAGATCCTTTTACAGCCCTTCAATTACATTCAACAAGTGCCTGGAAAACAAATTCGAACCAAACTAACTAAGGTATTTCTTTTACATTTCATCCTTCCCATTTACTTATTTTCTCACGTCTTCACCTTGTTTGTCATATGTTTTTAAAAACTTCTTTATTATTTCTTTTTCTATTTCAAGAATTTTATATTATTTGTTTTTTCTGCATGCAAAAATTCACATATTCTTTTATAAATCAGGATTATTCTCATATTCTTTTATAAATCCTGATTTTCCTAATACAAAATTTCTGCTCATATTTGTCCTGATTTCAGTAATATTCCTGATTTTTTTTCTTTTTTGCTTATTTTGAATATACTATTTTGACAAATAAGCTATTTTAGAAAGTGAAATCTGTAACTTCAAATTAACAGAAGTTAGCATGAAAAACGATATTCCTTCTTCATCTAAACCCATTTTCTTCAGAAGAATGAATTATTTCTGAATTGGTATTAGAACAAAAATAGTCTTAACTACTTTGCTTTTTATAAAATCGTTTTCAATTTTTGCCATTTTATAGCTCTTTTTTATAAGTGTCAATAACAGACACTTGACCCCAAGGGGTTATGCACAGCAGGTGTGTCACACTTTAGCTACTGACAAAGAACAATTTTTTTTTTTAAATAAAAACGCTCTTCTGTAATAGAATGTCATTTCTTTTCTTATTTTTAATAAAAAAATTAATGCACTTGCTGAATTCTAAAATAGGTCTGATAAAAAAGTTAAATACTGCTGTGAAGGTCCTGTTGTGACTCCCCTTCTGAAGGTCCTGTTGTGGCTCCCCTTCTGGGAAATTTTGTGCGTATATTTATCAAGGCTTTCACAGGTCATGAAGAAAGGGAAAAACCTGGAATTGTCTGGGAATTTTATTTTAACTCTAAGCAGCAGTAAATAGTCTAGAAAAGTTAAATTTTTTTTTTTACAAAAACTAGGACATTTCCTAAATCATATCTATAAAATAACTAGCCTTAGAATTGTCAGTAACAGTAATCAGATTATGAAATCCTGGTTTCCCTCATAATCTAGAAATAAAAACAACTTTTTTACTTCTTTAAAAAATTTTGATTATATTTACTGCTCAAAAAATATTTAAAATCAATTATTAATTTCTTTCTGATTTAAATCAAGGGCAATTTTTGAAAAATAAATGAAACAAGTGATAAAAATATGATAATTTGGTTTAATCATTGATACGTCTATCTTCAATTAAAATTACACGTACAAGTGATTAGAACACATACTCTCTTAAATGCCTTCATTTTATTTCACATCTTGCATATGTTTCTCTTTGAATCATTCTATATAGCATATTTATATCAAAATGTTTTAACAGGCTTTCAATCACTGGCTAAAAATTCCTATGGATAAATGTCGAGAAATTGGAGAAATTGTCCAAATGCTTCACAATGCTAGTCTTTTGTAAGTATTGAATTTCATTACTTTTAAATTATCCACAATGATGCAATTTATTCTTTTCATCACATAATTTAGTTAATTTTGTTAGTTTGTGAAATGAAAGAGATTCAGTATTTTCATAATTGTTTCACGCTGCTTGAAACTTGCAAGATGAATAGCGTGGAAAAATCAATTTATTATTCTATTACTTTTTCTCATAGTGTAAATACAAACTTTTCTTCTGTTTTATACAATATTGTGCATTGCTTCTTAGTAAAATAATTAATATTTCATAAAATCTATTGAATTTTTGCTTTTTAACTTTGACTTCAGTAACCTCGTCATTCAGCTAGCCATATTTTCATGTATTTTCAACAACAAAAAGGAAAAAAAAGGTTGCTATTCACCTTTCAGTTTTGTAAATCAAATCTTATTTGTAGAATCGACGACATAGAAGACAATTCCATTCTAAGAAGAGGTGTTCCAGTTGCCCACAATATCTTTGGGGTAGCCAGTACCATCAACTCTGCAAACTATGTTTACTTCCTAGGATTGGAGAGGACACTCAAATTAGGACACCCAAAAGCAACTACTGTCTTTACCGGTATTTCACTTTAATGTGTTTTTAGTAGACTTGCTTTAAAATACAGAGAAACCTGTCAATTGTAACCTCTGGTGCTTTGGTGATCAACTTATAGAAGAAGTTAAATTATTGTTTTCTTTCTATCACATGTTCTCCTTTTATATATTATGTTATTCATGTATTTATTTTATATAACCATTCATAATAAAGATAAATAGAATTGTTATTATTTAAAGGATTTTAAAATTTTATTTAGCAAATATCCTGTTATTAATATAGAATTTAGTTACTAGAATGAATTGCAAGTTATTTAAATTCAATATTAAACTGGTTAGTTTTAAAAAAAAGCCCTCCCATATTTTTTTTAAAAAACAATACAACACATCTATTATCACAATATTTTAAAATTTGTTTTTCACTTACTTATAAGCTTATTTATTACGAAATCCCTAAATAGATTATTTATTTATTTTTTTAGTTAACTTATAAGTGGTTTGGAATTGCATTTAATAACACTCTAAAGTAAAGTTGACTTATTTCAGTGACTAACATTCAAGATATATAGGTTATATTCAAGATATATAGGTGGTTGAGTTACAATGGTTTTGCGTCCTTTTATTATATAGTATAAATGTGCTTCTTGATAATAGATGCCAACTTAGACAGGTGGTGCATTTACTAAGTTGTCCAACTTCCGTATATTTATTTGAAGAAGGCTTCTTTTTTCTACATACTTCTAAGCAATTTTGTCTGTGGCTGATTTTTGTTCTTTTTTCCTTTTTCTTATTATTTATTTAAATTTCTAATAATTGGTTATCATGATTGGCCTACAGTAGGGGTGGGTGCCCAACCTTTTTGAGTGAAGGGCCACATGCGTAGCAGATTGACCAATGAAAGACAGCATGCCAAAGGGAAAACCCAAAGTATTTAGGCAGACATATTCACTTCAATTTTAGATAGTAATTGTTATAAAAACATTGTTCTAACCACTAAATTCTTTTTCTAAGTTAACCTTGTAATATCTTAGCATAAAATTGAATACTTTTAAATGTTTAAAGTTAAAAACTTCTAAACTGATTACTTAAGAAAAAACAGAATCCGAAAATCAGAATCAGTTAATCAGAAAAAAATTTATATAAATTGAAATAATTAAAAAACTATGGGAAAATACATGTGTTTTAAAAATCATATTACATAATACAAAAGTCCATATAAACATAAATTTTAACTTTAAAAAATTTGTTCATAGAATTAAATTTTAAAAAAAATATTCTAGTTATTAAAATAAATGCAAGTTAAATACTTTGATTTAAAGAAAGTTTTAAGGGTTAAAAATTATAAAAATTGAAACAAAACCCCATCTGCAGTAAATAAGATTTAGCATTTAGAAGGGCAATATACTTGAACTTTAAAACATTTATTTTAAATTAATGATATGACGCAGAGAGGGGGAGAAAAAGAAAGCAATAATTTTGAATAAACTATTTTCCTTAATAATAAAAACTATTAAGATACTTGTTTAAAATGTTTTATGGTGAATATTTTTTTAACATGACACTTACTATTTACAATTAATACACATATGCATAAATAATTAGTAACATTTACATTACTTAACAAAACTTATTTTGATTATTTCTTTACTGTTAAAATTTAATGATATACAAATCATTTCCCAGCGTATAATCATGAATGATATGAAATGGTGTAAGTATATAGAAAATGGTTAAAAAAATTTCTTAATGGTTATTCTGTTATTTACAAAATTTTTTAATATTGTGATAATTTTATTCACGTGATCATGTGATAGCTTTTTTGAGCCATTAAATGAAAATTTAATGATTTTGTTTAAAAACTGCTCTGTAATTTTGAACAGGCCAAATTTATTCTGGAAAACAGTCTTTCGACAGAAGTTGTTGTTGTGGGTAGTAGTATTAAATTAGGACAAATAACTTAATAACTTTTGGAATTAGTCCAATATGATCACGTGAATACAAATAACAATGTGTTGTTTTATAATTGCCTAAATACTATTTGCTATGTGTGCTTTTTAAATTGCGTAAATATAAAACGCAATATGTGATTTTAAAATTACGTGAATGCGAATTGAGATGTACAATTTTAAATTGCGAAAAGACTACTCACAGCGCATGATTTTTAAGATGTGTGAATCGCGATATATATGGTTTTTAAATCGCGTGAATATGAATCGCGCTGGATGATTTTGAAATTTCGTTATTGTTAATACGAAATGCGATGTGCAATTTCAAGATCGCGTAAATACAAATTACGATGTGTGAATTTTAAATTACGAGAAGAGTTAAAACGTGTAAATACGAATCTCGACATGTGATTTTTAAATCATGTAACAACAAAAAGAATTGGTTGGGTGTGTGATGTTAAACTTGCACTTGTTCATGGGACTAAAAAAATATACACGTGTTTTGAATTATTTTTTAGCAAAAGGGAACGCGTTTAATATGAATGTACGCAACATGTTTTTTTTTTTTTATTATTATTCTTTACAGGAAGGGATCGATTTTGTTAACATACGTAATTACTTTTTAAGTTTCAAAAAAAAAAAATTTAAACAGTATCGAATTTTAAGAGTTGTAATATTGTGCTAAAATATCAGGATATTCAAAATCACAAGTAAAAATGTAGCAATAATTGGAAGGAAAAAAAATGTTCAAAAAACCTCTTATATTTAGGTAAAAATCGACACAAATACATTACGTAAAAAGTAATTATTTTAATGCGCGATGCAAAACTCGCGTGCTGTCAAATTATAGTATGAAAAATTTCAGAATTTTTTTAAATCTTGGGTAAAAAGAGTAGTAATAACTACTAAGGAAATTGTCAAAATCCCTTTATATTTTCGGTGAAATTGGTGTAAATAAAACCCGTCAAAATTTTATGTATTTAAATGCGAAATTAAAGTATCGAAATAGCGTATAAAAAATATCAGACTTTCAAAACCTTGTAGAAATGTGTAACAATAATTGCCAAAATAACGATTGAAAAATAATTTTATTTGCAATAAAATTGGCACAAATAAACCACTTCAAAAAATGGTTATCTAAATGAGCGATTATTTAATCGCGATTCGTAATAATATTGTGCTAAAATATCAAAATTTTAAAAACCATGCGGAAATGCGTAGCAACAACTGCTGAAAAAGGATGAAAAGTCAATCAGATTTTTCATGGAGTTGGCACAAATAAAGCGTTTCATAACTTTTAAAAATCGTGATTTCAGAAAGTATGTGAAAATGGGCAGCAATAACTACCGAAAAGTCATTGGATTTACGATGAAATCGGAGCACTCGAAGAGCATACCACCTGGCTAAACATTTCATTACCAAATACTGGATTTCCGGCTAGACTTCCAGCGCCAGATAAGACTCATTTATGTTTGTCACAGCCATATCCAGCCAGCCTTACAGTGACCTGTAAATTATTCATAAAGATCCAGTTTTGAATTTATGCCGATTAATGAATTTTATGCTGAAAACTGTTTTAACTAAATTTTATAATTAAATGTATATATTTGAAATAAGAAATTGCATTGATATTTGTTTCAAGTAAATAATAAGTTCAAGTCAAAATTAATTGCAGAAAAATAAGATACATGTGATGTATTCTCATTATTATTGTCATTATTCTTATTAGCTCACTATTCTTATTTTATTATTTCATTATTCTTATTATTACTCATTTGTAAATGAGTCAATGCAATATGTTTTTATTATTTGGGTATGTAGGCTTAGCATTTTATAGAAGTATAATTGAAAACAGTAGCAAACGAAATATAAAAATATTTTCTTACAAATTACATATTAATTATTCTAACATTATAACTAATTTAGACACCATAGAAGATTAATTTTCTAGTAAACAAAAGCACATGTTAAAAAACCAAGCCAATTGTTTTAACAAATATTTTTAACGAAAAATTTAATACAAAAAACTTTGAAGAAGAAAAGAACACATAACTCAAAAAAAAAAAAAAAAAACTCATCTGAAAACTTTTATCACATTTTCAGCCCAAGTCGATATACATTTATATTGAAAAGTAGCCTACATGAATAAAGTTGGTCATCAATATTTTTATTTTACTAAAAGATATTTTCTTTCTCTTTTGCTCAATATATAGAATTTCCAACCAATCTGGTTACCTTCCCACTAATCCAAGAATGATTTTTGTGATTTTTTTTTCATGTTATGTAAATATATGTTAACTTTCTCATAAAATTTTTTACGTGCAAGCAAATTAGCCCCTTGTGTGTTGCTAGATGTAGAAGTTATTTTGTCTTTGGAGGGCGCTCAAAAATTAGTTGGATATGGATGTAAAATTGTAATATGGTATAACCACTACATGAATCTTCTGTTCAACATTGCTTTTAAAATAAAGTTTCTCACCAAATATTTAAGAGATGGGTAAATCTCATTGCTCATAACTGACATTATAGACTGACATTATAGTTATCAGAATATAAAATATTAAACCTTGCAGCCATTCATATAGACTTACCTTATTTCCAATGTCACTTTGAAATTTTTTTTCAAATATGTTTTATATTTTTCAAATCAGAAACGATAAATGTATGTTATAAAAATATTATTTTTGTTATAGAAAGTTATAGTTTTTTTACTTTTGTTCATTTATTAGCATTAAAAAAAAACAATTTTAACTTAAATAAATTCTAGTGACTTAAATCTTGAAACCTAGTTATTTATTTTAAATTTAATACCAATATTTTTAAATCTTTTACTTTTCTTTAAATTTATTTACTTTAAATCTTTATCTCTCATTATTACCTACTCTGGGCACTTTTTGACTGAAGTCCACATCATACATTTACATAGATCAAAGAATCTTTTAAGTAACAAATATTAAGTAATTTTTAGTAGAAAAATCTTGATGTACTTATGCTAAAAATATCTCCATGCATGTAGAATAAGATTTCTCAGCCTCTGTTTTATGCCTTATATTTTTTAAGTATGCATTACACATCTATTCGAAAGTAATCAATATGAAAGATCAGTTCCATAATCTGCTACTATTCAATCCCTCATGTTGAATATGAGAGATTGAAATTCCTGGGGAAAAAAATTTAAGGAATTACTGTTCAATAAATTCTTTAACGGGGAGAAAGGGGTCACTTTGCTTCTTTCTAACTTTTTCGTTTTTGTATTTCCCTGAGCCATTTTTCATTTTAGGGTAAAGATTTAGAAACAAAAAGCCAGCATTAGATTGAAAATAATCCAATCTATGCAACAAATCTTAGTTACTATTAGAAATTGATTTGGCACTGTATATGTGATTTTTCAATATTTATTTTATTTCTCTAGAGCAGTTGCTGGAGCTTCACAGGGGTCAGGGCATGGAGATTTATTGGAGAGACAGCTACATTTGTCCCTCTGAACAAGAATATAAAGAAATGGTCAAACGAAGTAAGCATCCTCTTTTTCTCTGTTTTATCTATACAATTGAAATCAAGTTTGGCTATTCAAGCAGGCTTTAATGATATAAAACTGCCAAGGACAAAAGAGGAGAAAATCATAAGAATGAAATGATAAAATTAAGTTTCCAAAGTAAAATTTAAATGTAATTATAACATCATTTATCTAAAATATAAATTATGTATAAAAATATAGTATTTTATTTTACTTTCAATGGGATTTATTTAAAAGAACTTGGCTTAAACCCAATTACCTTTTGGCTGTTTAATATTTTGTAAAGTAAAATAAGTTTAAAAAATTTTTGAAGAAAAAAATTAAGCAAACTTATGAGATACTTGAAAATATATGTTATTTAATTATTACGCACAAACAAATTGTTAAAACTCTTTAGGCAGAAGATCACTTGAATGCATATACAAAATAAAATATAACATGCAAAAAACAGAAAATAAAATGTAAAGAAAATACAGAACGAAACACAAAACGAAATCTATAAACCGAGTAACGAATTCAAATGAACTTACATGTACTGGAATCTTTGAAGAATGCTTTAAAATATTTTCATAATAAGATTGCAAAATGTGAAAACAGAAGTGCAAATTAAGGGATCTTTTGTGGTGCATTCTTACTGCAGTACTGAATCACACTTGATTTGTTAGTTACCTTGGATTGGCCCAAAAATGAATGTACGCAAGATAATAATATTATACTGGATAATTTAAAGTTTATAATTAATAAGGTTGATATTTAATTAGACAATTTTAATGATTTTAGAAAATTAACATTTATTTAAAAAAAACATTATTTGCCCGTTTTGCACAGTTATTTTTAGCCTGGGATTTGTACATGATAAAAATATAAATTAACAAAGAAATTTTCAGTTGTAATAACATAAAATTAATTCAACGTTTTATATAGAACTAGTTTATTTATAATAAATTTAAAATAATTTTTTTATCGTATAAATCAACAATGCAGATATTTTCTTCTTTTTTAATACCTAAATCCAAAAAAAATTAGAATAATTATCAAGGGATGAAAGACTTCCGCGAAAAAGCGGAAATCCGCTTTTTCTCCCAATTTTTAAAATTTCCGACCATGTTCAAAAAAACTAAAATTTTTGGGGAGTCCAATTAGACAACCCAAGCCTCCCGAACGATAGTCGGATTACCGCGACTTCCGCTATAGAGTGGAAAGGAGTCTAAGCGTTTCGTTTCCGACCGCCGATATTTCTTTTCTTTTGTTTGGCTGATTTTCAGAATTTTAAATATTAGGAACTGCGCCGGAATATGCTAAAATCGCGATTTTTAATCAGACGATTTTAATATCAATCATCGATTTTCGTATTTAACTGATTTAAAAGTTACGTGTTGCGATTTAAGCCGTACTAGGAATTCCTATTCACTCAATTTTAAAATCCAATATCGCGATTTGTATTTAAGCGTTTTTAAAACCCAATATCGCGATTTGTATTCTCGCGAGTTTAAAATCCAACATCGCGATTCGAATTCACGCATTTTTAAATCCAATATTGCGATTCGTTATCACGCAGTTGTAATATCAGATATCGTTTTTCTTATTTGTACGCTATTTAAAAATTACTCATTGCGATTCGTATTCACGTGATCTTAAAACTATGCATCACGATTCTTTCGTGTTTTTAAAATCCAACCGCACGGTTCATATTCATGTGATTTTAAAATCCAACCGCACGATTCATATTCACGCGATTTTAAAATCCAAAATCGCGATTCATATTCACGCGATTTTAAAATCCAAAATTGCGATTTTGAAATCCAAAATCGCGTTTTTAAAATCCATATTCGTGATTCATATTCATGCGATTTTAAGGTTCAAAATCGCGATTCATATTCACGAGATTTTAAAATCCAAAATCGCGATTCATATTCACGCGATTATAAAATCCAAAATCGCGATTCATATTTACGAGATTTTAAAATGCAAAATTTTGATTCATAATCACGCGATTTTAAAATCCAACCGCACGATTCATATTCACGCGATTTTAAAATCCGACCGCGCGATTCATATTCACGCGATTTTAAAATCCAAAATCGCGATTCAGATTTACGCAATTTTAAAATCCAAAATCGCGATTCATATTCACGCGATTTTTAAAATCCAAAATCGCGATTCATATTCACGCGATTTTAAAATCCAATATCTCGATTCATATTCCCGCAATTTTGAAATCCAAAATCACGATTCATATTCACGCGATTTTAAATGCAATATCGGGATACATATTCACGCTATTTTAAAATCCAATATCGCGATTCTTGAAAGAAGTAGAAGTAAGTTTTCTCTTTAATTAGTTTCTGTAAAGATGTGGTATATTTTTCATTAGTAAGTAATTTAATAGTCGTGCCTTCCTGTAATTGCTTTATTTTTTTTAATATAGTAGTGGTCACAATTTTAAAATTATATTTAAGAAAAATTTAAAGTTAGCTGTCTAAATGCTTCTGCCACTAATGCATATTAATAAAATGTCTAAATGCATATTAAATAAAAATCTCCCAGCATAGTTAAAAGTTGCTTTTATAAATCTCAGTATCATATAGAGCACTACCCCTCCCCCCTCTCCTCCCAGTGGCCTGCATTGTAAAAGTTCAGCTTTTTTTATTTTTGTCCACTTTCATGCCTGTATCATTATGATTACAAGGCAAGATTAATTCCTCCTGGTAAATATTATTTAGCAAAATTGTATAATTGTGAAAAATAAAGATTATCATCAATAAATCTAAAAGCAAATTTAATATTAGGACTATAGTTTTTTTCATAATAGTGTAAAAATAAGTTAGCTAAGAGAGATGAAAAATTAGATCCTTGTGTTGTTCCATCAATTTGAATTAAAAACTGTTTTCTATTTTAAAAATAATTATTAAAAGGACAAAAATAATTAGAATTTCCCTATAATCAAAATCGCAATTAAGGATATTTTTAAAATCATAGTAATAACTCAAAAGAACATCTTTTAGTTTAGAAAGAAGAATGCTATTGAAGAGATCTTGGAAATCAAAAATCGCAATAGGATTAATTTTATTTTGTTTAATAAATTCCAAAATCTGTTGAGTATTAGTGATAATCCACGAGAAACCTTCTTTAATAATGTTAATAATTTTATTTAAATAGTTAGAGAAAATGGTGCCAAGTTTGGTTAGGTAAGTATCAGATCCACATGTGATTATTCTAAATTTTATGAATTTTTGGTCTGATAATTAAGTAAGGAAATTGTATTTTGCTAATTTTAATTTTTAACCTCTTATATATAGCTAAAAATTTTTAATTATAATATTATTATTTAAATTACTAAGATTAACATTTTTGCTATTTTTTAACTACTAATTAAAATTTTTTTCACAGAAAAGATTTCACTTAGAGATTCGTAATATTTAAAGCTTTTAATTATACTGAAATCTTTTAAAGGAAATAAATTATTTAAATTTTCAATAACATTATGAAATTTAATCTTATCGAAATTAGGTTTTTGAAAGTTAATGCCGAAATATAAGTGATCTTAATTTTTTTTTTGTGAATCTTTATTCATTTTAGCTTTTACAAGATCGAAACAAAGAATCCTTGAAGCTTAAATTAATAAAAGAAAAGTTAATAATTTGATCTTGAAGCTTATATACATCATTATTCTTAAGGGGAAAAACAAAATCTTTCATTGGTTCAATATTATTATATTTATGAAAATCTTTTTTCATATTAGAAATAAAGTTTACATTTAATTTGTCACTATTAAGAGAGTTTTTATTACTTCCTGATCCCCGTTTATCTTGATTTGTATGCTTATCTTTAATGTGATGAAGTGAGTAAGTTGAGGAGTTATTAAAATTAATCTGTGTATGTTGGAAACTATCGTTTATCCCATATGGCAAAATTGTTTTGTATAAAATATATATATATAATAATAATAATTTTTTATTTGCAGGGATTTAATGTTGGAAAGTAAAATTTATTTTTTCAAATTGCTATGTAAATTTTTGTAGTAATATTTTTTTCAAATGATATTTCTAGAAAAAAAAGAAAGAAAAAACTGTTATGCTTCATTTCTTAAAAGTAAGAAAATTAGTAATAGTAACACTTAACGCTTGCAGATGTTTATAGAAACACTAAGGACAATGTTTTTTAGATATTTATACATTTACAGAAATGGCGTATTAGGTTACGCTTGGATTGATTATTTAGATTGATACTGTGTTTAAAACATAGGGGTTAAAGAAATTTTGATTTAAAAGAAAGGCTATTAGACCATGAATTAGCAGCTGCTCATCAGATTTTTCACATCATCAAAAATCATTAATATTTATTAATATAATTATTAGTTTAATGTGATTAGCTTGTATTAAAAAGCATTTAGTTGCTTTTTTGCTTAAGAAAATTTTTATTTTTGCTCTCAGACCTCAAAATCTCTTCAAGAATATGAAACATTTACTTGATTTATTTTTTCCACTTTGAATACTTTTATTTTAAAAAATCAAGTGATTTAAATTGTTATTGAAATTGATGGTTTTAACAATGTATTTTTAATTATGGATACACTAGTTAAAACTGTAAATAACTGTCAACCCTGGTTTAAAAAGATGCTTTATAAAGTAAAATGACTCTTAAAACCCATTTAGATTGAAAGATGTGGTTCAAAATAATATGTATTAGTGTTATTTTTACTTGTTTATATCTAAAATGTTTTTTTTTTCTTTCTGAAATGTTCCTTATTGATTGAAGGTAATTATAAAATAAAGCCTATATTCTTGATTCTTTTATTTCTGAATAGAAACTGGTGGTCTGTTTGGACTGGGTGTCAAATTAATGCAGCTTTTTAGTGATAACCAAAGGTAACTTTAAAGGAACAGCATTTTATTAAGTTCTATACGTTCCCCTCACTAAATGTATAAAAACAATCGATAAATCTGTCTTTAAAGAATTTTCCTGGGAAGATGTACCTTTTTTCTTGTTAATGTCTCCTATGAACTCAATGAGTGTGTTTTCTATTGATGCCATTTAATACTCTAATTCTTTAATACTAGTTGATAGTCCTACTTTATTTTTAGTAATGATAATTTTATGAAAAGCTTTTATGAATTGAAGGTTTAGGTGTTTTTAATAAATAATGATTTATTGTAATTATTAAAATCAATTTTTTTCATTTAAATAAATTTTTTTGTTGAACTTAGATTTGTCTTGATTTAATGTGAATTTTTTTAAGAAAAATACTTTTTTTTTAATTATTGAATGCATAAAATGTTTGAAACTTATAACTTCATTGTTCATCGGCAAAAGAACTATGCATTTTAAAACAGTAGAATTGTGTTTTTAATAATTAACTTGAAGTAAAAATGATTGTAGGTTTTTGTATTCATTTTTTGAAAGATTATATGCTGTGTGCACAATGTCTTATAGAACATACAGCTAATAACATAATTTCAAAATATATCTTAGAATATTCATACCTTACTTAATTAATCTTTTAAGAAAACTTTATTTAAATTAAACAGTAACTAGATATAGAAAAGACACATATTATTTGTCATCTGCTTGTTTTTTATTCTTTAAAATGTGGATATTTTAACTACCTTTACTGCGTTCTTAAACTAGATCTGCTTTTTTTCACAAAACAAGAACTGAAAACTTGATGAAATATTTTGATCAAGTTTTTTTACCTTTTTATAAGTAAAAAAAGAAATTCTATAGAGACACTCATATTTCATTTCTGTTTCATGTCATAATATTTATTTATTTTATGTTGCAGTGACTTTACCAAGATTATAGCCATCATGGGACTCTATTTTCAAATCAGGGATGACTATGCTAATCTCCAATCTAAAGAAGTATACATCCATTATTGAAATATTTTAAAAAAATTTTAAAAAAACTTGTATCAATTATGTTTTTCCCTCTTATTTCTCTCTCTATCAATATTTGATTGTTTAGAATTTTTGTTTTAAATTGATATAATTTACAAAGGAATAGAGATAGTACAATAATGAGCACATTCGAAAATCTTGAGGGAATGTGAGTGAATAATCAATGCAATGAAAAAAATTAAAGCAAGTACTTCAATTATGATTGCGCCTTTGAATATGTCTGCTCATATCTTTTATTGAAAATGTTGGAGTATAAAAACAGTTTAATTAGTATCAAAATAATAATTTGTACAGCTAATTTTACTGCCAAAGTGTTGCTGCCTAAAAATAATAGTTATCTGAAAGACTAGGATATAAGCCATAGTTAAGTTTTGAGCTTTTTTTTTTTTTTTTAATCCCTTAAGCAAAGTGTTTTGCAATTCGTCTCACCTACTTAATTGTATAATTTTATTTCTAAACTAAAGTGTACTGGTAAAGATTATTATTTTCTTTTTCACATCAAAAATTGCCAACATTTTCTGCTGCAAGATCAGTTTTATTTGTTCAGGAATTTACTAGTAATCTAAGCGTCAGGCTTCAAAATATCAACAAAAAAATTGTCTTTTTCACTTCTAATTCTTATACAGTTCGACAGGTAGCGTAAAATATTCTTAAAACAATTATAATGAAATAAAATAAAAATACTGCAGTTTTGTTATTTTGCTGTATTGTTTTAAAAAATTGTTGGAATTACTATTATTGTTGTATTCTATTTTTTTATCCACTTTTATGTTACTAATAATATGCCAAATCTTAAGGAAATATTTGATTGAATGATCGTGTTTTACAAGTTATTTTTAGTATTTTGTATTAATTTTTTAATATTTTATTTTCCTCTTATGTCTCTGACAAGTTGGTGTAAAAGGGTCATAAACCTACCGTAGATTCCGGCGTATAACGCGCACTTTTAATGCAAAAAATAACATTGGAATTTACGGGTGCGCGGTATGCGCCGAATATAAAAAATTATAGATTAAAAAATTCTAAGTATAGAAAAATACTTTTATTTTAAAGAAATAACATAACTTTACCTATATACTTTATTGATTTTCGTTATTACGTAAATAGTTCATTATCTCAGAATCACATTATTACTCTTTCAACTCTATCCTCACATACATATCAAATTCAGTTCTTTTATTTTTGCGAAAGATAGGGAAAAGAACTTTTTATTTACGATCTTGAAAGACGAGATATTGCACATGTAAAATCCTAATTTTCGTCCGCATTATACGAAGAGTATATCTTAAAATTCAAAAAAAGTATTAGAAATTACAGGTGCACGTTATACTACAGGGCGCGTCATGCGCCGGAATATACGGTATATTAAATTGTTAATTTTTAAGACTAAAATATTCTTTAATAATTACAAAATTGTTGATATAGTTTATTTCTGAAAGTTTAATTAACTGTGGTTGTTAAATGAATGAATTTAAAATAGATTTTATGCTTGTAACTGCAATGACAAAATGATTCGCTGTTGATTCCACAAAATTATGATTTGTTATAATATAAAATTGCTGCATAAATACATTAATTTGATTGAATAATTATGATTTATATGATAACCATTGTACTCTATAATAATAAACTATCCAGGGTTTCTACAGTTCTAATAAAGGTAGTACAAATTTTTTATTTACAAGTTTTAAAATGTTTGCTTAATTTGAATTAATTGTTATCAATTTTGAGTTAAAAAATCACGATTATATACACCATTGTTCAAATGTGGAAGTATTAAATAGGATGGTGAAGTGCAATTATGGCTTTCAACGATATTTTTATTTTGCATCTTACAACTTAAAATATAACCACTTAACTGAAAATTCATTATTTTTCCCAATAAATACATAACTATTTTAAAATATTGGTGTTAACTCTTAGTAAATTGAATTTCAAAAACATAAAACTTCTTCCTTTTTACAGTACACTGAAAACAAGAGCTACTGTGAAGATTTGACGGAGGGTAAATTTTCATTCCCTGTCATTCATTCAATTCGAAGTAATTTAGATGATCCTAGAATTATGAGTATCCTTTTAATATTTCCTTCATGATATTATATTTATTAAAGACAATGTTAAAATTTACTTATGTGACCACTCTGCTTGATTCTAAAAGTAGTACAACTTTTAAATATTTATTATTTTAGACATTGAAATATCTTCTTAAAAAATGTGATTGTGTTTGCTAAAGTGTACATATAATTAACCTTATATTTTCTAATGAATAGAATCAAGGTATTTTTTAAGTTGTGGATCTACACAACTTAAACAAAACACATGGGATAATTTTTGAGCTATTGTGTAAAAAAAAAATTCAGTTTAAAGAAAAATATTCTGTACTTGTAGGAACAGTGTGATTCAAGATTATTTTTGTCAGTTTAAATTCTGTATTTTAAAAATAAATAATCTTTAAAATTTAATTTTTGAATTATCTTTGAATAAGCAAATTGTATAAAACATTTTTGATTCACTTAAAAAGTTCTGAAAACTAAACTCAGTGGTGCGACAGCCCATAGAGGGCCAACTGTGTCCATCTCATTTTTCTTGACCTTGGCCTGTGCGGTTCAGGAACATATGTTCCGATTAGGTGGTCAGCCGTATACGAAACCCCCAGTGTTCAGTTCCCAAGAATGGTACTCATTTATCAACCCACTGAAGGGATGAAAGGCTGAGTCAACCTTGCCCGGCCCGAGGATCGAACCCAGGACCTGGCACGGAGGAGCTAGCACTCAGTCACCAGGCGTCAAGAATCATACACATTAAAGAATGATTAACATTTAATATGTGAAACAAATTAAAAGCAGAGTCTGTTTTAAACACAATTATTATAAATTCTTTTTTTAAAAAAATAATGAATGCCACCTAAATTTAGGAATGGCATTTATTGTTTTTCTGTAGTGTATATTTTGGTTGTTATAAATAATGTTTAATAAACAATAATGAACTGAAATATTCTTCCATAATGATACCCTGACCTGCTGCAACCTTGGGAATGTCTAGGGAATGTTTCCATTTCTACTGGAAGTTTTACTTTTGTCATAAAAACTTGTTATGTTGTCATGTATTGTTTTTGCTTTCACTCATTGAAATTTCATCTTAAGAATTTTAATTATGAGTTTAAAATACTTTTTCCAAATTTTTCTCGAAGTGATCCACTCACGGAAAAAATGCATGCTCTATTGTCAAGGTCAAGAGAAGGTTAAAATTCCTATTTTCAATCCGAAATTCTATAATGCTTAGCTTATTTAATTTTTCATTACACTTTATTAAAAGAAAAAGTTAATTTTTGAGGAAAAAAAGTGAAAATCATACTATTATGCTAAATTTAAAAAAATAAAAAAAAAAATCATTCATAGGATCCTTGGTAAAATGATACTGCTGTTAAGATGTTAACATTTGCTCCGATAGTTTTCTTGTTTGAAAAATGTGTTATTATTCTAATTTAATTTTTGTAGATTTTATTATTTGTCTATCCATTATAAATTATTTCAGTTAACGTTCGATAAAGATATAGTGAGGCAGAGAACCTCAGATGTAGAAATAAAAAAATATGCCGTTGAACTGATGGAGAAGATAGGATCCTTTGAGTACACTAGAAATATTCTCAAAGAATTAGACATCCAGTGAGTTACAATTTACATTTCTGTTCAGTGTAAAAATTCCATTTTGTAATTGTTTTGTTTTCCCTTTCTAGGGCTAGGAAAGAAATTGAAGACTTGGGACACAACTCTTTCCTCGTCAGCATTCTGGATGAGCTGAAGTTGTGGTAGGAGATACCCAGCATCTTTAATATTAAGTATTTGGGTTAGATGATCACTTGCGTTCATCTATTAAATGTGTCCTTTTCATCCTCATTTAATATGATCTACGATGGAATTTCATTCAAATATTTTTCTGATTGTGTTGAGAGTTGTATATGTATGAATATGGATCATTAGTACTGTGCTATTGTTAAACAAACATCTTTAGTAGATCGAAAAAGAATACATTCAAACAATTATTCATTTTAATATACATGCTTGTTTGTTATTTAAATATCAAAATTTGAAATTCAATATTGTTTTTTTTTAATATTTTGCATAACTGAAGATTATTGTTTATTAATGATCCTTTTGTTGGATGAAAACTGCTTTGATTCCATAACCTGGTCGACAGTTGCACATATCAGTGTGTTATTTTGTCTAAGAAATGATCCGCCTAATTTTAATCTAGATAAGTATATGCTGTTGAGCTACATTTCAGGTGTGTTCTAAAACATGCATTATGCAGGTTTTCATTCTACGTTTTTTTCCTTGAAGGCAAGCTTGTCTGACTGCAGTTTTTTTTTTTTTTTAAACATACATTTTTGATTGAGTGCAACTACTGAGGACTGATCCTAGATAAGGATGAGTCGATAATGAGACCGTTTTTATCTTGTAACATCTAATTGAACTGATATGTTTTTTCAAATGTCAACATTAAGAAATAGCATTTATTTGAAGTATGGACTTTTTGTGTGTTGTAACTGCTAAAATAGTGTTTGACCTAAATACAATTATTTATTTTTTTAAATATGAAATGTAGCTTCTTTTCTGACATCCTTAATTACTTCCTGTACAATTAAAATATTTATCTGCAGCTTCGATTAAAAACCTTGTGTTTTTATTTCAATATTTCATAACTAATATGTAAACATTGCTTTATACTACCAAATGTAAGATACTTTTGAAGAAAAAAAAATTTCAATGCTAAAATGTATTTATTTTTTTAAATTTTGTTTTTTGAGAAGACTGTGCTAGTATTAGGTTACTTCATAGATAACTTTAGGTGCTTTCTGTAGTTCACTATTGTGTTTAAAATGTTCACATTACATATATAAATAATTTACTGATGAATCAGCAGGAATGATCTTTTAAAAAAAAATTTTATAAGCTTATTTGTTTAATATGCAAGTTGAATAAAGTTTTTTTAATCAATAAATGCCTTGTTAAAACATTATCTTGGTTACAAAATTTATTTAAATGAGGAAGACACATTTGTTTCTTGTGGTTACCATAAAATTTGCTTGCAACAATTTAAATCAAATCGAAAGTGTTATTTTTTTCCCTGAAGTATTCATCATATTTCATATTTAACAAACTCTTAGTATTATTTGTGACACCAATTCATATTTTGTTATTTGTTTCATTTTGTGTTTAAATTAAACAAGTCTTGTTTTTTTTATCTACATTGAAAGCTTTTCTTATTTTATTTTTTTAACGCTTCGACCTTTTTTTGTTTTTATAGAAACATTGTGTTTAGTATTGCACACATAGTATTCTTTTTTTAATACTCATTAGTGGGTATTAGTAATGGGTGAAAATGCAATACGCTTTTGTTATTTATTTTTTTCTCACTTTATCAGATGCCAAAGATTATAAATCTTTTACTTTATTTGTGTACTGCTTTCATTTTGTATGTGAATATGAGCAAACATCTTAAATAACTTTTATTTGAGTTATCAGATTTTGCTCAAGTGCCTATTTTAATGTTCTATTCCTTTTAATACATAACTTTTTCGACCATTGTTAAACAAAATAATGAAGAAAAGATTAAGTTCATTTTTTAGATAGAATTATCTTTTATCTATATTTAAATAAGCAAATTTTATAATTGTCTGCAAAAATTTCATTTGGTCCATTATAAAAGTTCTCAAGATATCGATAAAAATTCAAAAAGTAAAATGAATATGAAATGGTCCAAACTTTCAACTGTTCTCCTAACTAAACTCTTAAGACATTCTGTACATTTTGATAGTCAAGAATTGAAATGTTTTTGCGTCTGATTCCCCCAACATAATTAATAGTTGGCACTCATTAATCAGCGTTATGGAGCTTGAAATTTAGAATTATAATTGGTTTTTTGTAAGTGGAAATGAGGTTAATAAAATAATAATAATAAAAATTCTTTATCCCTTGTGTTATTTTTTTTTCATTATTGTATCTTATATTCGTCCAGCCTATAGTTCTATAGAAATAAATATAAATTAAACAATTTCATGTTGAGCACATAAGTAAATCTGAAAGGTAGGCTTATAGTTTACTAATCTTTTTGATTATCATCTTGAAAGCGATACTGTTTCATTGAGGAACCATTATTGGTTTTTCTCATTTCAGAACTCTATCATTTTGTAAAAAAAGAGAGCTGAATATTAACTAAAAACATTTATTTATTTAAAAGTTAATGTAAGGATTTGTTGTTCTTTTATAAAATGCTTCCAATATTTAAGTATTTTTGAAACTTTTCCCAAGATTATATATTTTTTAAATATTTTCATTTTAAGAACTGTGATTATCATTGGATTTTTTTCTTCTAAATATCATTCTTTCTTTCTCTCCTTCAAAATTTTAATTTATTCAAAACTAATAGTTTATGAAGATGTTAGAGCTTAAATGCTTCAATTGTCTTTATCACTCCAATATATTTGTTCCAATTACTATGTGATGCCTAGTCCCCCAATGGTCTTCTAAAAAAAAATGTGTGCATTGCTAATGTAAATAGAATGTGATGAAGCAAGTTGCACATTTTGCCATTTTTTAGTATTAGATGTTAAATGATTATTAGTAGTAATATTCATATTGGTTTTGAACAACTCAATAAAAACTATTTTTTACATTCTCTTTTCTTTGTGTATTTTTTTTAAAATCAAAATCATTCCCTCCTCTACAAAACACTTCTATACTAACAAAATTTATTTTGGCAGCAAATTTTTTGGAAGAATTCGGATGGCATATCCCCATTCCAAATTCGGATGGATCAGAATGAGGAAATCATTCTATGAGAATGCTTTTAAAATGATAGTGGTCGTAAAGAATTAGGAAGAAAAAAAAATTTAACACTTAGTTTGTTCGATGCAAATTTTGCACGGGTAAACCATTTTCTAAAAGCATCGTTTTTCAAACTGTGCCAACAGTTATGCTGCAGAAAACTTTCCAAAACATCTGCTGCTAAAAGGTTTTTATCCATACTTTTGTCCAACCTCCGTTATACAAGTACTTTACACTTTTCTTCTAACTGTGTTTTGTATTCCTTAGTATTTTTGTTTTTCAAATACAGTTGAATATTTTTCAAATCCAAGTAATCGTTCATTTTGTTACGATTAACAAAATGTTTTTGCATAAAACTATAATTATTATACATTATTTATACAAAATTATCGCTTTTCAAGAAAATATCAACTTTCAAAAATAATAGAAAACAGAGAGGATTTAAATTGTGAGCGGAGAGTAAATTAAAATAAAACTCTATAAATATATACACCAACAGTAATGTAAAGTGTTGATAAATAATCATAACGATTTTTAAAAAATTATATTGTGCATAAACTAAACTAATTACAGTTAGAAGGTAAATAAATCAGGCTTAAATTTTGTTTCATGTAATTCAAATGGTAACAACTTTAACAAAACAAAACAAATTCTTTAACTGGTTTTTAAGATAGCTTTTACATAAAAGTGATCATCCTAAAATTATTTCGTTATTTTATATGTAAACTATAGGAAAAGTTTCTTTTTTTTTCAGACTTGTAAATTAAAAAATAACTTCGTATTTAAAAAAGTAATAACTTAATTCTGAAGTTTAGAAAAATTATTGAGCTTTGAGTATGATTCTATGACTCAAAAAATTGTCAGCTCTATCTGGTTTGCGGGCCTTTGATCTCATTCAGATAATCACCCTTAATGCTTACTAATTCATTTGCACAAAAACCGTTTTAAAAAATTTTCCTTAGAATGCACACATACACATTGATCTGAACTTATTCGATGGATTTGTGTTAAAACACATAAAAAATTGTGTTGAATGTTAAAACATTGTGTGCGAGCACATTCCATAAACATTATATTGGAGGAATTCCGGATGTTTTCTCGGTAATCGACACAAGAAAAAGACAGTGAGTCATCGATTGACCTACTTCTAAAAAAATTGTTCAGGTGGTTAACGACCTGTTCCGCCACACTCTTTCCATTCGAACGGTTCATGGATGTTCGTTTTTTGAGTGAAGAAAGAGTTAACTGATCACGTTTCTCTCTGGCTGTGGAAATGAAATAGTCAGTGTTTAGGACAACTCCTAGAAAAGAAAGCATTTGAAACGTCATCTTTCTCCTCCAAGCGCGATTTTATTTTATTGCACAGTTCTCGACAAAGGTTTTCAAATTATATATTTTATTTGTAAACTATGAATGTAAGAAATTGTTTTAATGATGTATTGGAGGTGTAAATTAAATAAACATTCCTCTACAAATATATATTCGGTATTTAAATAGAATTATAAGTTTAGTGAAACGTTGATTTGTATCAAATGCGCGGATATATGATTGTTACTAATGTTATTTAAACAATACGTATTTTTATAAATCAGTTGTAATAACTTAAAATTAAATTATAAAGGAAGAGAAATGGTATTTGAGAATACTTTATTTGTGAGTATATGAAATGCCGTGTGAGTATTTCGCACTCATTTCAAACATATTTCAACCGACTTTGTTTAATACCAAAATAACTTAAAGTACTGACGAAAACATAAATAAATAATCAAAAATTTAGAAAAAATCAACCTGCATTCTTTTTTATGCTAATTTTTTCATAGATATTCTGCAAGATTTTGTAAAATTTCATATTTACGCTTTTTTTTTTTTTAGGATAAGAAAACCAATTCTATATTGAAACAAGATTTAACTTTAAATTGATTCTAACACACGTACTTCTGGCAAGTTTTAAATTGATAAAGTTGATAAGGAATCTTAAAATAAAGATGCGTATGAATGAAGAACTGTTATTCAATATATTATTTATAATGTAGATTAAATAACCACATTTACACCATGAATTGAGAAGAAAAAAAGCCGACACATTATTTAATCGAACTACGCATATCTTCCAGAAATTAATACAAAGCTTAAATATCAACTCTTCATCCTATTGGTGGCACTTCATTTCTCTCCATGTTTTGTCATTTATAATAATGTCATTTTTAGGTCTCTTTCGTTTACACTAAAAGTAGCAATGAATCAATTTCAAGGGACAATAATGAAACTTCAAAAGACCAAATACGTAAAACCAATAAAGGGACTCTTCTTGACTTAATCATTAGAAACATATTTGCAAATAACATCCATTTTATTTTGATTCATAACTATGCTAATTCATTATCGTACTAATAATTTAAAAGTAAATGTGTGAAACGTAAAAAATTGAATAGATTCTGAATTAATAATGAATAAAATTTTGTTTTCTTGGTAATTTGATGCATACAAAGGGGGGGGGGAATAGAATTCATGTCTTGTTATTTTGTAATAATATGATTTAAACAATTGGGAAGCACTGCGATTACAAAATAATAATAAAAATTGGAAATCAAAAGCAAGAATTTGAAAGTAATGGAGTGCGAACTGGGTAGCATTCTTATAATAAGATCCAAAACCTTTCAAAACGTGTTAAAATTAACTAATTTATAAAAATTACACCAATCTGTAAAATATTTATACATCATTCTTAATGTAATAAATACCATTATTGAAAAAGCTCTAATATATGTATCTCCGAATCTATATTTACCAAAATATTTTGACTACAATTATTATTTTCCCAAACATTGTTCACCTTCTAGGTCAGTGGATACCTACTGGCGGCCCGCGGGCCACATCCGGCCCGTGAAGCCTTTTTTTGTGGCCCGCAAACTAAATATATTGGTTGTCATTTCTTTTGCTAAAAATTTTCGTAAAAAATCTATGTGGGTCTACTTTTCTTTCGTTAAAAAAAGCCTAATTTCTTCGTTTCTGTGAAATTTAACATATAAAAGGTGCAAAAAAAAAATTTGTACTTTTTATTTAAAAATCTACTTCTTATTTTAATTTGCAATTCAATACTTCTGTTTTGCACAACTTGATAAAAATCTGACAGTAGTATTTAATGTTCCTTCAAACGTAAAAGAGTCCAATATAAAATTTTTATAAAGTTACGGCCCGCCATTTGACTGATGTTTTTAAGTTAAGTTTTAAGTCACGTAAGTTGGAAACCCCTGTTCTAGGTGATCGAACAATAATCCACCGAACTTGTCACGCTTTGGTTGAAATCGAGGGATACCTACCAAATTTCATATATTTTAAAAAAATTCTTAATATTCAAAGAGTTCTATGTCAGAAAACTGCAAGTTTTGTGTTTGTTTAAAATTGTAGATAATTAAGTAAAAAACAGCAATTTAAATATTTTTGGCCTGAAATGTAGTGGTTTCTTTCAAATGGCGGAGCAAGCAGTGGTCACTGTAGAATATGATAAAATTATTATCCACTAGATGGCATCTTATAAGGAAAATGTAATTTAGAGTCGCTATAGTTGGCGGCTTATAATGTAAATGTAATAGATTGATTTAAGAATTGAATGAGGGCAGTTGTAAGCTTAATGTATCAAAATAAATTTTTGTTATTGTTTTAATCGAGAGCTCATCTTCGAATTTTATAGTCACGAGTAATTGAAAAACTTGGATTTTTCATCACTGTGCAAAAAATGGGAATTACCCTAATTTTTGCATCTATTTATGATAATTTGACTAGACTATCGCATGAGATATCAAAAATATTTGTTATAACGTGATGATGTAGTAATTAAATATCCTCATAAGTTTGAATAATATTCTAAATGAGAGAAACATTTGCAAGTTTTTAGCTCAGAATTTGCGCTTTAAAAAATATAGGCACTTTATTTTTTTTGTATAGTTTTTTAAGAGAAGGCATCCCTTGAGATAAATAAGATCAAATTGTGAGGAGAGACATTTGCACCGCCCTTTAAAACTTCGCAATGAATTCTTTAATGTGTATGATTCTTGACGCCTGGTGGCTGAGTGTTAGCTCCTCCGTGCCAGGTCCTGGGTTCGATCCTCGGGCCGGGCAAGGTTGACTCAGCCTTTCATCCCTTCAGTGGGTCGATAAATGAGTACCAAGCATGCTTGTTAACTAAACACTGGGGGTTCCGCGTTCGGCTGACCATCTAACCGGAACATCTGCTCCTGCACCCCAAAGCCCAAGGTCAAGAAAACTGGTATGATTCTTGCCAAGCATCACAATTATTCCATTCAAACAATAGTGTAAAAAGGTTTTTTTTTTCAACGGTAAATTATGTAAACTAACGTAGCAATAAAGGAAACGAAGGAAATAAAAATAAAAATGAAAATATGACCACCGAAGCCGACGTCTTCAGGGGGTACCGGCCCCGGTAGCCATAAAAACAAAACCTTTTCTATTGAGGGGGAGGCAAATGCCTAAAGTAATATTTGCCTCCCCCTCAATAGAAAAGGTTTTGTTTTTATCGCTACCGGGACCGGTACCCCCTGAAGACGTCGGCTTCGGTGGTCATATTTTCATTTTTATTTTTATTTCCTTCGTTTCCTTATTGCTACATTTATCCTTTTTGTGAAATTTCTGCTGCTTTTAAGCGCGTTTTTTTTTCATAGAAGTTTTAATAATTTAGATTTAAAAATATTTTGTTTTCTTTTAGTATTATGTAAACTAAATTACAGATATGGGATATATAAAATCAAATCTTTTCTATATTAAATTAAAATTAATAAGATATCGCAGCAATCGAAAACGCCATCTGGGAAGAAGACCGGTTCCATGTCGTGAAA